CTCTCTCCCTCCAAGTTGTATCTTTTCCCTTGGTGGCCAGGGAGGCAGTGAACCATCCCTTGCTTTGCTAGATTACATGCGCACTGTGCAAGAATTGTCTGCCAGAGAGGTTGTTGGTCCTTTTATTTGAATCATCTGACCTTCAGCAGCTTGGAAGCCGTGCAAATTTGTGAAGTTCGCTATGCAAGAAGGTTTTGTTCATGGTCTTTTATTTCGGTCTGTTTCATTTCTCCCTTTTCTTTGCGAAGCCCATTCTGGATACTGAGAGTCGTTTGTGTCTGCCACAGATCCTGGAAGACGGAAGATTGACAGACAGTAAGGGAAGAACGGTGGACTTCAAGAATACCCTCTTAATTATGACTTCGAATGTTGGCAGCTCTGTCATTGAAAAGGGTGGAGGTGGATTGGGTTTCCGGCTGGACTTTGACGAAAAGGACAGCAGTTATAATAGAATCAAGACGCTCGTGAATGAAGAGTTGAAGCAATATTTCCGGCCTGAGTTCTTGAACAGGCTCGATGAGATCATCGTCTTCAGGCAGTTGACGAAGTCCGAGGTGAAGGAGATCTCCGACATCATGCTCAAGGAGGTCTTTGACAGGCTGAAGAAGAAGAACATCGATCTGCAAGTCACAGAGAGATTCAGAGACCGCGTGGTATGTATAATTCAATTTTGGCCATGTTCTATTCTCCTCATACTGGGTGGACGTTGAGCCTCGGTCCTCTACAGAACACTCTGCATGTGTTTGGACGTTTGCTGGGCCCGATACATTCAGAATGTTGGACTTGCCCGGGCGCACCTGGTCCAGAAATCGTCCAAATGAATGTAGAGTGCTGTGTAGTGGAGCAAGGCCCATTGACACATAGGTTGGCAGAGGTCTGTTTGGTGTGGTGTCCAAAGGGACAGTAACCAGTGAAAAGCGCATGTGAATCGTGGGTGCTCTTGAAGCTGCAGCGCACTAGGTGATTTTGTTAGTGTATGTATTATTTTACGTACTTAGGTGTAGTTGTGAGGAGTCCTTTGGGAAATCCATTGAGAGTTGGAACCATACAGAGGAGATTAGCATGGCCCCTGCACAAGGATGACACAGAGAAAAAAAAGAGAAAAAAAAAGGAAAAGGGGTGGGCGGGGGGGGGGGACGATTAGAGAAAGAAAAGGGGGAAAAAAGATGGCAGTTGTGAGGGCTGCCAGTCATTAGAATGTAATATGTATGCATAACCTCCTCTGCCCTCTTCTGTTTTGTCCTGCCGGATCTCTGATCCTTGTCGTTGGGTTGCTTTTCTTGTTTGTCGGGGGGTGCGTTGCTATGTTGCGTTTGTCAATGAACAAAGGTTGACGAGGGTTACAGCCCAAGCTACGGAGCAAGGCCTCTTAGGAGAGCAATCATGAGATTGCTTGAGGACAGCCTGGCGGAGAGAATGCTCGCGGGTGAAATCAAGGTGAGAATGAAGGATGAGTTCTCAGTTCTTCCATGCTGAATGGACGGTCTGGTTTTCACCATTTTGCTGACCCAGTGCAGTGCCCTCACACAAGTCTTAGAGAAAATCACTCTCAAGCAGTGTGGATGCCTTTCATGTAAACGAAACATTTTTCTGGTGAAAGGGTATCTACTCTTTTTTTTGCCCATTGTTGTGCATGTTTCGCCTGCCGAGCCCTCCCAAGCTTGTCGGACTGCTCGCCGGATCCCAACGCTTTGTCTCTTGGCTCTCCTCACTTTCAATCCCTCTGATGAAGCCTCTGATTAAGAGACCTAGCTCTTCTGGCCGAGAGTGATGGTTCAATTCCATGCTTGCATGGATGGACCCAAAGTTAGAAAATAGTGATCAGTACCTACTGCTGAAGCACCTGGTATCCTCTGGCGGATTGTTGCCTCATGGGCAATGGTGTTGTGGTGCTGCTGGCTTTGCTGTGATTGGGTGCCGTATCTTGGGTGCATTTAACTCACTCTTCTGGCACATCTTCCGGTTGCTTCCTGAGCTGACTTCATGGGCAATGGTGTTGTGGTGCTGCTGGCTTTGCTGCGATAGGGTGCCGTATCTTGGGTTTCCGGCACATCTTCCAGTTGCTTCCTGAGCCTGACTTCATGGGCAATGGTGTTGTGGTGCTGCTGGCTTTGCTGCGATAGGGTGCCGTATCTTGGGTGCCATTTGGACATACCATGGTGGCATGCTAAAGATTAGAGGGTTCCAATACAGACTTGGAAGAATGAGCACACAGGACAGAGACACACAAAGTTTTACAATTGAAGCATCACAGTGTCTGTCGTGTCATATAAGTTTCAAAACACGCATCCTCTGGAAGGAGGCAACTCAGAATGCCCAGGGAGGATGGCTTAGTACCAGGGTTTGTTGTCCCCCCCCCCCCCTGGTCTATGTCAGTGGGGATGAGGTCGAACATTTTTTTGACTTTCTTCGAGAGTATGGTATAATACTCTTTGCAGGAGCCTTGCTTCTTATTGGAGCTCTTTGAAAATAAGCATCCAATCCCTACCAGAACAGCGTACTGGGAGAATGAACACTCAATGGTTCTGCAATTGGGATGGGCGGCATAGTGAAAGAAGTGAAGAGGGACCAGAGTGCATTACTTGTGAATGTATATCCAACTGCAAGAAGGGAGGGCACATTGCTTGGTTTGTCAATGTTCCCTCCCTGCGCCTCCATATGCATCACAGCCAGATGAAACCCACTCAGAACACCCAGTGTGTGTATGTTTTCTTTCTCGTGTCAGAGGGGGGGGGGGGGGGGGGGGGGGGGGGGGGGGGGGGGGGGGGGGGGGGGGGGGGGGGGGGGGGGGGGGGGGGGGGAAAAAAAAAAATGTTTAATATTTTTTTTTTTTGGGGGGGGGGGGGGGGGGGGGGGGGGGGGGGGGAGGGGAGAGAGAGAGAGAGAGAGAGAGAGAGAGAGAGAGAGAGAGAGAGAGAGAGAGAACAAAAAGCTTCTAGATCTGATGCTTTTAGTGTGTGTGTGTGTGTGTGTGTGAGAGAGAGAGAGAGAGAGAGAGAGAGAGAGGATATTAACAACTCAGCTCAGGACAAGACTGTGGTCAGATGCATCCTCCTCCGGCTGTAATTCCGGTCAGATACATTTAGAAAAGTGCAACCGTGAGTACGCCCTGAGGCTGGTGATGAAGGTACATGTCATGGTGTGTAACCCTGGATATCTGTTGTTGTTGATGTTGCATCCTGGCATTTTGGTTTTGCAGGAGGGAGATTCTGCAATCGTGGACGTTGACGCAGACGGAAATGTGACAGTCTTGAATGGGAGCACGGGCACAGCGACAACAACAGCTATTGAAGCCCCGGCCGGAATTGCATAAGTTCATCTGGACTAATTCTTAGCTTCAGCTAGCTGTACTATTACTGGTACTCGGTAGTTTTGTCTCTGTGATTGTGATGTGTTCATTTCTGGTTGGATTGCCAGGAGGAACCAATGAAAGAAAACCGACAGGACTTGGAGGAACGAGGAGTAGTGAAAAAAGGGTCCTTGTGTGAGGCAGGCGTAATGCCCGTGTCCTTCTCTGGGTGAGGAGTGAAGGGGTTAGTGAGTGTCCAAAGAAGGAAACACGGTTGTGAGATCATGTCACAGAGAGAGATGCTGCTGGTAGAAGGGATCGCCTCAAGAGGAGTAGCTTTATTTTTTGTTACAGTAGTAGTAGTAGTTTGATATCATGCTGCCCAGTGCTTGATGTATGTTTGGGCTTAATGATTTGCAGAGTCCTTCCGTGGGAACGTGTTCTCCAGTGTGTGTGATGGTGTGGGATATGGCCCTGAGATGTCTACTTCCGCCGACATCCGTTTCTTTTTTACTTTTTTTTTCTTTCACTGACAGCCGCTTCAAATGATATCTTGATCGGGTTTGGGGTTGTGATGGCTCATTTCAGTTTTCTGGTTGTGGATCCATTCTTGCTTGTTTTAGCCTTTCACCAGTGGACGACCATCATTAGCGTAGGTGCTGGAGGACTCTGGAGGTCGCCCTCTGCCGTTACTTTTGCCAACCCACTTCACTGAAAAGACGCTCGAAAGGAACGCAGAGCAAAAGAAATGTTAGTACGTCGCAAACTCCAATTTGTTCAACTGGAGATCGAGGTCGTTGAAACGGGCTCTAGAAGAGATTCAGTACCTTTTCTGTTCCCTCTGGCTTATGCTGCACTTGTCAGGCACGGTCATGTCTAATTGGACATGTCCGTGTACATGTTATTGCTTCCCCCCCCCCTCCCCCCCCTCTAATTGATAGCGAAGTCGATGATGACAATCGTCGTCGTTATGATTATGCTCTCAGATGTTTGTTGGGAGGAAGCGTTCAGACTGAGGGGGCAGATTCATCAGTCACTCACGCTGACCTGTTTCCAGTTAGCAAGAGTTGAAAACCCATTGATCGAACTCTGGGGTCCATACTGTGTTATGCGCTGTGTGTTGTGCTTTTTGCCAATCTGACGAGTCAGTGATGATGGCTGTCGTGAGGATGACAATGCCTGTGTCGCAGAATGCAGGTGATGATGTGCAGCTAACTGTTTAATTTTTTATTGTTGAGCTAACTGTTTAATTTGTTTAATTTGTGATTGTTGAGCAGCTCTACTTCACAAGAAGTTCCGAGAACAAGTCTCTGATGCACCGATCTCTGTCAAAGGCCCTCCTTTAAACTGCTAGTACCTCCGAGCCAGTTTTCCCAACGCGGGTCTGCATTGTGTGCGAATGAAAAACGAACCGCCAGCAAGCGCGCGAGTTTTCTTTTTTCGCTGGCGCTGACTGCCACTTTGGTCCAGTAGCACTGTTCACCCAAAGACCCCACCTGCGGATTCGCCGAATCTCGGTTCTCAAGTTTTGCCTGGGCGAGATTGTGGCGGTTTTTAACTAACGTCTGATCATTGGACCTGGGATCACAGTCACGGGGAAGGGGGTTCCATCATTGAACCTAGTTTGTGTTTCTAATTTGTTCACACGGGAGAATGTCTGCAATGACCTGCTTTCAGCTTGTTAGTGTTGCTTTCAAAAAAGAAAAAAAGGGAAAAAAAAAGGAATAAAAAAAAAAAGAAAAAAAAAAGAAAAGAAGAAGGAAGCTGCTCTTGTGGCAGTAGCTCTCACTCACAAGCTAGTTTATTTGCACGACATAATGTCTGTAATGGCCCTCTTTTTCATTATGTTGTTGGTTTTGACTTTCTTTCACCTTATTATTGATTGTTCAGGCTGTTCTTGTGGTAGAACTGCTCCCTCATAGTGTAGGTGAATGTGAGTGGGTATGTCGTGTGAGTGCTTACCACGACTCCAGTCTTGTTCAGCTGCACTGCGGTTGCATGCTACCCCATCGGCTCAGCCCGTGATGTAACAGATCTACGGCCATAGCCTGTCCATACTCATTGCACGTTTCTAATGCAATTGAACCGTCGTCTTTTCCTTCGATCCATTTTGGTCCTAATGATACTTGAGAGTGTTAGGGCGTGTAATAGTTGCTGGCAAATTGCTGGCAAATTGGTAAATCATAATAAGGACGAGTATACCATAAAAGGACTGCTCATGCACTTGGGTGTGTGATACTCTTTCCGCGGTTTCATGCACTTGCGTGTGTGATAATCTTTCTGTGGTTTCTTTCATCCCTTGTTTTCTTCCCCCCCCCCCCCCCCCCTCTTTCTTTCGGTCCCCATTCCTATCCCTCTTAACACCAATTACAACGCTTTGTTCCCTCTGTCAATGAATCCTCCACATCCCCTGGCACCGAACACAGGTGGCAGAACTGCAACAGCTATGCAAAAGCAAGGCCACAGTCCTGTCGATTGCTGGGATGACAGAAAGGATGCGTTTACCGCAGAAGGATGGGTCGTGGGGTCGGGCCTGTGATAATCTTTCTGTGGTAATTTGGCTGTGAAAAGTACGGGTGGTGTAAATGGACTGACTGGCACACGGATTTCTGTATAACAACCCCTCGAAAGAAATATATTTAGATGAGGTATCGAGTGCAGAGAGAGAGAGAGAGAGAGAGAGAGAGAAACTACAGATCACAGACATGAAAGGGGGGCTTGCATGCAACAGAGCTTAAACCACCAGTACTTCCAAAAAGTTGTGGCCGTTAACTAATTTCTGTCCCTCTGGTGCTACATCTTCCCTCTCATGTACACACTGTGTGTACCAAAGTGTCCATAGGATCGCCTTTCTTCCCACATCGAATAGGTTGGATTGAAAGTTTACGAGTTCCAGGAGGGGGGGGTACCTGTGCCCAAGTAAAATTGCTTTCCTGTCCCACGGACAGTCCAGAGTAGGAAGGTTAATCTATATAGAGTCCCAATGCCTCCGTTAGGCAGGTAACTAGTAACCAGGGACGCCGGGCGTTGGCATTTCATCAACCTGCCAGACCTTTCTGCTACCTGACCATCTCTCTTTTTGTTAAAGTGACAATTTTGGGTTTTACGACATCGTGTGCCGGAACTTGCAATTTTGATAAGTGGGAGTGAGTGGGGTAGGACCCTTTTGGGATTTGCATGGAGTCGAGGTTCGCTGCGCCGAACACGAGCATGGGTAACTGCCCATGCTTGAACCTCATGTCGATCCGCCATAGCGATCTTCCGCCTTTCCCGATCGCAGACGAAGACGGAGTGTACTGACATGCAGATGTGCGGAAGGCGCTGTTGCAGGTCGACCGGTATGATCTTTACAATCCGTCGAAGGCCTGCCATATAGGAGATGCAGATGTACTGGGTTCGTTTTGATTGGCCGTTTTTTCTCTCCATCACTGATCTTGCTGTATACTGATTGGACGGTGCTTCCGTGGTCGGCGGCCCAAGCCACGTGGAAGCCTCGATTTAAACCGCCAGTACCTCTACCAGCTATAAAAAAAACGTGCGGCCATTACGCGCCGCGACTTTAGGGGGTCGGGCGACCGAACGCCCGGTCGCCGATTAATAAAAAAAAAATCAGAAATGAACACAGAAAAAACAGAAAAAAAAAGGAGAATCGAAATAAAACAAAAACAAAAGGAAAAGCACGGCGCGCGATGTGGTGGTAAGACTCGGCAACACACACACACACACACACACACACACACACAGAGAGAGAGTCCCGGTGCGTTCGCCGGGCAGTGGTGCTGCAAATGTGCCGTGTCTCTCTCTCTCTCTCTCTCTCTCTCTCTCTCTCTCTCTCTCTCTCTCTCTCTCTCTCTCTCTCTCTCTCTCTCTCTGTGTGAGCACTTTTGGTTATGACAGAAAACGGGAATGAATCTTACCGCCGACAGCGGGAAGATTCATTCCCCTTCTTTTCATTAGCACGTTCGGTTATGGCAGGTAATTGCATTTGAAACTGCTTTTTTTAGCAGTTTAGCCAGGGCCCGAGTTTCAAATGCAGTCGAAACTTGGGCTGGCCTTTTTCAGCAGTTGAGTTAGGCAAGTGGCCCGCTCCCCCTCCCCCCCCCCCTCTTTTTTTTTCCCCTGTTTTCTTCTTTTCTTTTCTTTACTACCCCCTTCAGGTGTGGCCGAGACATCTCGGCCGTGGGCCTCCTACACAACCACATGCTTCTTTTTTTCTTCTCGGCCATGGCCGAGACATCTCGGCCGTAGCTCCGCCACATAACAGGAAAAAAAAAAAAAAAAAAAAAAAACCGGACCTTTTGCCTGACCAAACTGCTAAAAAGGCCAGCCCGAGTTTCAACTGCAATGGAAACTCGGGCTCTGACTAAACTGCTAAAACGCAGTTTGAAATGCAATTACGAAGTTATACAAACTGTTACCCTGACTGTGCCGTAGTTTTCTTAAAAACCAAATTGCAAACTCAATTCTCTTTCAATGCACACAACAATTCCGCCACGCCTTTCCACGACTTCTCCTTGTCACTGGAAAACTTCCAGATGGCCCACCGAAACAGGTCATCTGGATATGTTCCCCTTCTCGACTCCATGTGCAACAGTATCACCGTTCCAATTATCCCAGTGACAAATGAGGAGTTTTCCATTTCGTCGAATTCGATGACGGCAGCTCGTGATAGCTGCGATCGTGGACTTCTTCCCAGTCCACAAATAGAAGTCCTGGAAAGTTTGGAAAGCTGGGCTGCTGCCGTTGATAAAATCTTCTTCATTCTTCATCAGCTGGTAACCACCCAGAAACGGGAACTCATCTTTGACCTGCAAGTGACACCCCAGGAAGTCCATTTGGTTTCCCCTGCGTTTGTCCCATTCGAAGTACAACTCGGATCATAGCACGTCTCGTATGTTTCAATAATTTCCTGGCACGGTTCTTCGACTTCACATTCTTCTTGTTGTACGCTATGAAGATGGACGCGTCAGCCACAAACTGCATTCCTGCCACCAACCTCTTTTAACTCCCCAGTGCCCATTTGCAAGCACTCCATCCCGGTGCGGGATTGAGGTCTTGACAGTCGGGCTGCTTCATCTATTGGTGGGGAGCGGCACCTGCTGCAAACAGGGTCCAGCATCCCTTAGAGCATCATTGATCAACAGTGTTTTCGTGCACATATCATAGGGCTGCAGAGCTCTCACTTCTTCCCCGCAGGGCTGCAAACTACCCCTCCAACCTTTGAGCTCCTTTTTTCCACTATCCCAGCCCAATAGCAGCCCTTCCCTGTGACAGATACCTGATGGCAAGCAGGCCCCGGCGTCCCACATTTTCCGGTTATCACCTTTCTACTGTGCTACCCTTACACAGAAGTTGTGATTGTCTTGCATTTTTCACTCCTTGGAGTGTAGCACCCTTACGAGCAAGTAGTTAATGGTACTCCTGACCAGGAGCCGACACTAGCCAAGTGAGTCATACTGCTCTCCTGAAGTTGTGAGACTTGGACAGCGCTTTTAAGTAGTGATCTGCTTCTCCCCATTCACCTGAGCAAGCAACCTTTCCTGTTCCAGTCTTGGAGTCTTATACTATCACCAATTGTCGGTCCCCTGTTCCCGTAGGCGGGCTGACCTGCCATTCCCGAACTCCCACCCTTTGGAGCTTGGTACAATGACGTGATTTCTGTCGGTCGTATGTTCTGCTTTTCTACCTGGCCAGGGCTTTTTTGAAAAGCAGACTTTGCCTTCCTGGGATCTCAAAGGGGAGTCTTCCGGGGGGCTAAGGATAAGATGTTGGGGATGGAGGCGGTGGGGTGAAGGGTGGAGGGGTGTCTGGTAGCGGAGGTGGAGAGGGAGGGGTCAAAGGTGGGGGGGACTCTACCTTCGCGCAGATTGCTACTCTTCCCGACGACTCTGCTCCGACCTTATCTTCGGCTTACCGTACCGACATTGGTATACATTCTCTTTCCTCGCCTATACATCCTCCTACCACGCGTGTTATTCGCACGGCTCGCTGCAGTGCAGCCAAGGATATCATCGACTTCCTGGACCTCGAGTGTGTTAAGATCGATCAGGAATGTCTCCGCCTTGAGGAGTGCACCCTGTTCGCGATGTCTCAACGCTTACACAATCGCAATCGCACCTTACCGATTATTCCAGTGCGCCATGCGACCTCTACTAGAGTGTATCGCACACCATGGGACTCTGGCTCTACTGGCGACTTCATTCA